TCACAAACTTTAAACAGACCATTCAGGTGCTAAAAAACTGGCAACTAGAAGACAAATCATCCTGTCTGGTTTGCCTGAACTTTTCTAGGAGTGGAGAATTTGTGCTTTGGCAGTGCATATGCTTAATGATGGATGCACTTCCAACTCTTGCCAGTAATTACTGTTTTCTTGACTTTATTCTTTCTGATGAAAGACCAAATCTTGTGAATTATTGCCTTAAAAAAATTGCTTTTTAGCTTCTGGCTTTTAGTGCCTGCATTTGCTGTGCAAGGAAGTCCAAATGCTCACAAAATGAAAGACATCAGACTCTGATTACTGCCATATTGACTCCTCATGAGCAGTGGCCACTTCTTCCACAAATGAGGATAGCACATACAGGCCCCTAATTACCTGTGAGGGGCAGTAACTTACCAGTGTTAGGCTCAAGGTTTCCATACAAAGTCAAAGTGAACCCAATCTGGACAAACTCTTCTTGCAACACCAAGGTAATGCAGCCCTGCAGTTACAAGAGGAACATGGTATAACATTGTATACACATGTAACTGGTGAGATTAAAAAAAAAAAAAAAAAAAAAAAAAAGGGGAATTGCTGAAATATGGAAATATGGAAAAAGTCCTGGATCATTTCAGATGGAGAATATAGGAAAAATGCAGGCTGTGAAACCAAAGTCACCATGCAATAGTTAAGTGTTTCTCACATGGACTTTCCTTCACATAAAATAATGAGAGGTTCAGAGCAGATGAAAACTCTTTGAGTACAGTCTCCCTCTACAACCACCACTCCATAAGGCAATGCTTAAGTTTCTTTTTCAGTATTTTGTATCATCTCACATTAAAATTTCCAAACATGTCTATTAGGCTTCTCAGTTTCTAATTATATGATTTAGACAAAGAATATGAAAGACCTGCTAAATTGCTAAGTAGCAGCCAAGCCAAAGGCTTTGTAGCACATAGTGGTTTTAAATTGGAATCCAGATTTGCAAGACTGGTTGGAGAGGCCCATTTTCCAAAAGTAAAAGTCACCAGAACTGGCAGCATGACAGAATTGGAGACAACCTTCTGAAAGATGTAAAAATTGCAGGCTGCTGGTGGAAAAAGTATGCACTAGGTCAGACATTTGTATTGACACAGAGACTTGGTGGAGCAAACACATCCTGATTTACCAGGCAGAGTTTTCCCAAGCTGCATCTATGCCATACCTGGAATCAGTCATCAGGTGGCTAGAGAGAAAAAGGTTTAAACTAAGGAAAGAAAACATCACCCAAAAATATCTCCTTACCTCTCTCCTACCAAAACCAGCTGGAGAGGTGTGATGGTTGTGACAATGGTGTTAGTGAGAGCTGCCTTTCACACTTTAATGTTCATAATGCAATAGGCAGAGTATGAGTGTGATGAAATTCTCCTCCGAGTACATTTGTTCATTTCAGGAACAAGTTAACGTATCTTCCATTTTGGTATTTATTTGGGATATTTTAAATTAATCTACTTATCTATTAAACATGTTTGAAGCATCACGTAGAGGCACAAAAGACATAATGTTTTTTTCAGAACCTACAATTTCCATTCATTTAAGTGACCAACTGCTGTTCAGAGTTTTATAAATGGGATCTTGCTGGGAAAGCATTTAATGTCATTTTCCCTGTTGCAACTTTGGCCTGTTGCAACAGGGAAATTTGTTTGGTAGTGCTGCTCAGGGCTCCTCACGATATTGGCAAGATGGCCCAAGCAAAACCAGCCTTTGTCACACACCCTGCCTTCTCAGAGGCCACAGAAGGCTTCAGGGACACCATTGGGAAAGAGATGAGTTGCCAACTGCCTGACTGTTGCCTGGGCATTGGACATTATGCTACTTAATGCAATATAGATTGTCTGGAAATGAAGGTCACAAACCCCATATGATTTTTTCCCTGCTCACTAACCAGGCAGAATTTGGCACTACTTCTCTTGCTACTTTTTTTCTTACAACAGGCTTCTCAAAAGTGTCTGCCAACATTAGCCTTGATGTAATTCCAGCAGCTTCAGCAGAGGAATATTTAGCTCTGTCCTTAATCACCCTCATCCATTTTTTGACTTTGCAGAATCCTTCTGCAAACAGTGATGCGCCTTTGATGCCTGAGACACCAAACCAAGACTTCCCTGTGGCTAGACAAACAATTCCAAGGTCAGAGTGGTGGAAAGGCAGACAGTGTTGGTTTTGCATGTCAGCTGCGGCTGCCCCCTTAGGCCTTACTGAGCTCACCAGCGCCTGCATCAGCTCGCCCTTCCCATTCACTGCTCCACAGATTCTTCCAACACCATGGACCATGGTTACCAATAGCTCTGTTGCTCATTTTGCACCATCAAACCACAAGTACATCACCTTTCATGTAAACATTTTTCCAAATACAAAGCTCTTTAAATTACATATGCAAAAGGACAAAGGCTAAAGAGGAAGTAAAAAATCCCAACAACTAAATGCATTTGTCACAAAACTCAGCAAAAGATGACTCACTGTGTGGCTTCATGATTGTGGTACTTCCTAGTCATTACTGCTCTCTACCTAAAAAGCTACAGAAATTAGTCAAGGTTGGCTTTAGAAATAACTCATGCTTTGTAGTCAATATATATTAACAGAAATCCTATGACCTTGGAGTTGACTGCAAATACAGCAGCTGATGTGATTTTCTTTTTAAGACAGGTTATTTTTCTCAGAGTACACAATTCTCTATTTTTAGTAAAAGCAGGGACACAGATAACACCACAAATATGGACTGCAAACATTTCAGCTGACAGGTAGGTGCTACTTGATGCTAACTGCCCAAGGAGCCGAGGCAAGACTGACCTCTCCATGTGCAGTATGGAGAGTACACTTCTCCACAGGAGGCAGATCCCACCAACCTCTTCTCACAAGTAAAGCTGTATCTGACACTTTGTTGTCTCTCCAATTAACATTCTTACAAAGCTTTTCATTTCACGTTCAGTATAGTCTTACCTGTTGCAATGCAAGAGCCGGCAAAACACTTTGTGGTTTATGTTCATTATTTCCCCATTATCCTTGCACAAAGTACATACTTTACACAGGGCAAGCATTCAAAACAGTGGAAAAATACTTACCTTTGAATACTTTATCTCTAGTCAGAACTGCAGAACAAGATGATATCTGAAGCTTCTTAATTCAGGTAAAGGTAACAGCTATATTGCTACTTTTCCAGATTGTATCCTCCATTAAAATTAGATGAACTCCTAGAACTTTTGTTTTTAAAGCAGAAATGGAAGGTTGTATGATTTTTCAGTAAACCCCCCCCCTCATTTTTGCAGAATCAAATTACTCATTTTTGCAAAAACAAATTACTGCAAATTTACTCTAACTACACCTCAGAAAACAAAATTCCCATTTAAGCAGTACCCCAGTTTTGCTGCACTTGCTACTTACACCCACTTACACAAAAATCTGAATTGCTAAAAAGAAACCAAACCAAAACCAAAACGGAAAGGAAAAGCTTGAATTAATTTGACAGAACACTAAAGAAATATTAAAGAGTGACTTTCAGACTTCTGAAAGCCTCTAGCAAGAGCTCAAAGGCTTTTCTTTTTTTGGTTGAGTCCTCCTACCTTCACAAACCAAGGGCAGGACATATTGAGACGTGTTTACTAGAGAGATTGACCAAGTCTCTGTTAGTCCTTGATGGCTTGTAACATGGTGTAAATTGCACTACACAGCACCAGTGCAGGCACAGAAAAGATTTTACTCAGTCATGAAAATAAGTCACATAGAATTCAATCAGTTCTGCAAGAAGTGATGTACTTGTCCAAACCAGGTCACAACTACCTCGACTGCATTAATTCTAATGCCTGGTCTTCAAAGGGCCTTCAGTTTTACAGTCTGCATAATCCAGAATTATCCTTACTGTGGCATTATTTGTAAAATTAGAAAAAAAAAAAACAACTCAACTAAAACAACCACAGAAAAAAGCAACCATGCAAACCCTATCACAAAATGAAGGGATACTTCCTCTTTTCCTTCCTGTGCTACTGCCCATGACAGATACTTCATCTAGGATAAAGTAATGAACCAAAAATGTAATGAGAATTCAATATTTGGAAGGAATTGAAGTCACACAACGTCACAGAATGTTAGCACCATTAGGTCAGGACATCTCAGCTGTTAGCAAGACTTGGTAAAAGACTCATATTTTATATGATAAATTGTACAAAGATTCAGACCTTTTCCTCCTTAATCTTCAGTGATGCAAGCCTCACTGTCAGAATTCATGGTTACACTGGTATCTCTTTTAGTTGTTTGCTGCATATTAATTATCTTTTCAGCTGAAGATACTAAAAAAAAAAAAAAAGGAATTGAAAACTATCAAATTATCAGATCAAGTATGACATCACGTAACAGTCCTAAAATTATTAAATAGTGGTAAAGCAGAAAGCTCCTCTTCAATTTTCAACCATGTAATATTCCATTATTCTGCAAGGGCTAGAAATTCACACAATTCCTATGGAGTAAGAGCTCCAAAAAATAGAAATATCACCTATCAGCTGATGAGCAAAAACTTCACACTCTGTGGAATGAGCTGCATGACTCAAAATACACAAAACACTTTAGAAAAGCCAATCGATGAACAGGAGTAATTGTCCTTGAATACATCCACAGCAGATCTCAACTCTCATGGCTACCCAAATAATCCAGAGTGGAAACCCTCACACACTCCAGAATACTAGCAGGAAGGTGCTTCAAGGCTTACTGTTTGATGTACAAAACACACCTCTTCAGACACAGGCAGAATTTGGCCCCTTCTCTCCTTACCAGCAGCTTTGAACTGGTAAGGACTTCTTCCACCAGCAGCTGTGAACACTACGATTTCTCAGCAGAACTTTTGAGGAACACAACATTTATTTCCTGGACTTTGTAGTTGCATTGCATAACACCACACTGCAGTGAAATTTTTAGATGGGTATTCATGATCTATGAACACAATTCAATTCCAGTAACAGACACCATTAAAGAAGGCAGAATCAACTTTCAAAAAACTAATTTTAATCAAAACAAAAAAATTGTTGATCATTAACAAGTTTATAAAACAGTGATTTAGTTACATAAATAAATTGATATCAGTGTATCAAATCTTAATTACTTTCAACTTCATGAGCATGTTTACATGGGTGATGAAGTACAACCTTTTTATCTATTATAATAAATAAAATGGAGAGCATGAAATAGTTTTTCTAAACAAAAATACCTACAAACATACCTCTAGCATGTTCTCTAATGAAGGGAACAAGAGACACTGGACAACTTTTGCACCAAAACATAAAAACTGCTTTAAAAAGCACAAGGATACAGAACCATCAGCTAAAGTAAAGACACTATACTGTAACCAAAGTTGGTATTTAATAATATAATGAACAGTTTGGTAGTTAGATCTCCAGTTTGGTTATTTTAAAGCATTAAGACAAGGCAAGATAGAAGGCTGCTTTTATTTGAGTAATTCTAGAGAAAATAAAATATATTAAAAAAACAAACTGAAAAGTAGAACAGTCATACCTACACAACTTTCTGTCCTGCACAAAGTCAAAATACCTATGCAGAATATATATATATAATATATATATGTTATTTGTGCACAAAGGTTAGCTTATTATTAGCTCACTGCAAAGGCGTAACGTATTATGTCAATAATTTTGGAAAACATTTTGCGTTTTGTGTCAAAAAGGATATTCTTTAAGTTTTCTAGGCTAGGAGGCACAAACCCCAATTCTGGCATACTGTATTCTTAATGCTAAGGCTTGCTGCTCTGGCTGTGTATTTTTGTTGTCCCTCTTTACTATAGTGCCTGTTACAAGCATGTGTGTATGTGTGCATACATATATATGTATACACAGGTTGTATAAATATATATATATATAAAATTTTCCCCAATAGGTATCAGTCCAACCATGCAATCCAAAAGGTGGCTCTGCATAGATGCCCAGCATATAGTTCACCACCTGAGCCAACCCTGAAGCAAGGCGCACTTTAGTCCTTCTGATAGGTTTTTTTTTTTGTTTAAAACCAAGCTACTGCAGCTTCAAGTATTTTGCATTACATAGATTTTTTTATAAATTAGTTAATGTTATATTTTTTAATATTCAGACATATACTATAATATATATACAGTACAATAAATGCTCTCATTCTTTTTTTAATTTTTTTTGATAAATCCCTGAGAATGTATGTTGACAGTCGCTAAGTTTCCACATGCACAAGCATTGTGTGCCATGCTTCTGGATGAACAGCACTGCAAAGCCACGTGGTCAGCCTTTTAACTATTAATATTTCGTTTGTTGGTTTGTTTAAATATGCTGAAATGTAAGGATGAATTACAAAGGAGTAAAGCTGAATCCATTCGAGGTACTTATCACAGGATGGAGGTGTTTTGTTTGGTTTTTAAAGCCATTGCAATATATATTTGTTTTTGAGGCTGTGAACGTATACAGAAAGAACAGGAGAGCGATGTGGGCTTTTGCCACTTGACAACATATACTCAGTGTAAACCAAACCTTTTTTAACCCCTCTCTCATACAAAACAGAAAAAAGAGAAGAAAATTAAACACACAAACTTTCACAACATGACAGTTTAGTTTGCAAACTCAATATAACTATACACATATAATACCGGTGTGGCTCTGTTTCTTTAAGTTAAAAAGGATACAAAGGCAGGCTCAAGTAAAAATAAACCACCCCTCCCCCCCAATCCCCCATTCACACATTTTCATCAACCAAACCGTTCACGAACCAGCATCATCAGTTTCTTTTTGCCTTTGTAGATTTGTTTTAGGTTGTCAATAAACTGTGTAAACTGGATGTGACCATCATGAGCCATTAGGAAGGTCTCTCTTGCCTTGCTGAGGAACTCTATAAACTCACTATAGTGTCGTGGGCTGATGTGAGTGAGACGTGAATGAGTCGTATTAATGTAGGCTCCGATTGTGGCATCCAGGAGTTGCCGTAAAGGGGCTTTGTCCAGTGACATGAGCTTTCCAGAGTTCCTCCTTCCATGAAGTCCCACCATGCCAGGAGTGGTCAAAGTACACCTTCGCAAAATGTCCGACAGTACTGTTGCACACTTGACACTTTTGACCACTAGAGGTATTATAGCTGCAAGCTCATTTTTCCCAAGGGAGTGGCTGAGCGCACATGCCCACAGAACGTCATTAATGGCAGGGTGTGTGTCCTGATTGTAACTCAGGTTGAGATGTGTCATGGCCAAAGTGGCCAGCTTGTAGGCCCGCATGGGGTAACCCCGGTGCTCCATGTATCGTGCTATGGTAAAAAGCTGCGAGTAGCTCATGCCAGCTGTAGCAGCATCTAGAACAATTTGGTAAGCGGTCTCAAAAGCTATGTGATCCTTTTCACATAGGGTCAGTGCAGAAAGGGCACAGTTTTGAGGATCCTTCATGGCACACTGTAGAGCAAGCGTCCTAGCACTACCAGCCAGCTTCTCCTGCTGATGGCAGTCGAGATGCAGACGGACGATGGTGCTGTTGGACATCACTGTTGTAGCAACAATACTAGTGGCTTCTGTTGGAGTGAAAAGCGTAAACCAGTTTTGCATGATACTATCCAGTGCGTAAACACCTGGGGAGAGAAAGAAAGGATTAGCCACAACTGATAAAAGCCACCAGAGATATTCAGTAGATTATATTTCCCACCAAGTCTAAGAGGTAACCAGTACATCCCAGCAAGAAGGGCTCACAGACAACAAGGATGGAAAAGAACATTAAAACTAAGACTACTGTACAAACTCTGCAGCAACCACATAAACCCAGAAAATTGCAAAAATTGCCTTGCCTGCAAGATGAGCTTTAATTTCCTGTTGTGACAGCTGAGCTGTTTTACTTAAGACAATTTGGGTAAAACATTCTGGTTTATTTCATCTCATCATCTCAAAAGCAACCCTCACCTTGCACACCAGGGCAACTGCAACCTCTTTTCTCACTGTGAATCTCAAGGCACAGCACATGTGAAAAGTAGGCAAAATGGCTTTTTTAAGAAAACACCATGGCATACTTTAGCAGAACTTATTAAGCACACCTTAAAGCAATCAAATTCCTAAGTACATGATCATCAAGATCCTTATTAGAGAAATACAATGAGCAATATGAACTATTGGAGATTTTATTTCTCAGTGCCACTGTATTCCCAGTGTGTTTCGCAGGCGGAGGAAACACTGACTGACGGGTTCCATAGTTGTAGTGCCTTGTTGCTAGAAGCAGTTAACACACATTTGTGAGCCCACCTAAAACACACACAGAGGTCTTCATTTTCTCTGCAGGACTCTGATGCTTACCAGGCACTTCATCACTAATTTGCAGCAAACCAGCATAGCCAGAGAATACAGTATCTTCATTTAAATAAACAGATTCCTAGCATTACCCTATTGATTCTTTATTGTGTTGATTAAGTCTCAAGAGTACTTTGCATGCCATTTTAGGTTTTTTACAGGACACATCTATCAGAATATGTAAACCAACTTAAAGTAATTTTAAATACAGTATTTTATTTGCTGAGATGCAGCTGCACAAAATAATACTCAAGTACTAATATATATAAGACAACCTCAGCAAAAATTACCTCAGCAAAGATATAAAAGCAATAAAACAAGAGGATTGCAGGAAAATTTGCAGACACAAACGACTTTCTGGCTGAGAGCATACAATGGCAAGCTCTATTTCCCCATGCTATTGACACCAATGTAAGGCCAGCTAAGCATAAAGCAAAAAATAAATTAATCCAGAGAATAAGCAGCAGCAATCCTCCTGAATTCTGAAACTCAAGAAGCATCTGTGCAATACAATCCAACTCAGAAATACCAGAAACACCGTTACTGGCAATTAAAATGGCTCAATTATCATAAGTACTTAGGTTGTTCCCATTAGCATTGCTGCTGATTTTTGACTTTTTTTTTAACAGCTATACAGCTTTTAATACAGTCTCAATTTCAGATCCTGTATCCACATTTTGAAGATGGCAAACCTTAACACAGAGGGTTTATGAGATGCCTCATAAACTATGAGAAGACATGCAGGAAATTTATAGCAAAGCCCAAAATGATCCAAACATGCTACTTGAGAGAGCACTGATCTCCCAGTTCTTCATTGAGTATTTTGGGTAATAGTATTTGCATCTGGATGCTTCCCATAGGTTATGCACACCTCCACCTTATGGGGGAAAGAAGTCACACTGCATTACTCAACTATTGTCTCACTTGCTTTGTACCTAAAAACACCCACTAATCACTGCCATGATGTGTTCTCACCAAAGGAATTTTAGAGATGAACATGAAGTGGGAGGCATTTGCAGAACTTGCGTGTTGACAAGGAAGATCAAAGCTTATAAGAGTAGCTGTCAAGAGAAACATTCAGAACATACCTACTTCTGTTGCACATGTTACCAACCACCTCACCATTTCCCGCCGTCGCCAATTCAGCGTTGACAGCGTCATCCGCATCACCTGTTCAAAGAACACAAACAAAATAAAAATTAAATAGCAAACCAAGGCCATAGACTAACAGGAATTCTGAAGTACTCAAACACACTAGAGTTAAAAACGGCAGTCTCTTGCCCTCTCCACTCCATTTCACCTTTTTCATCTGCTATGTCCAACAATTTGAAAAACACTGCTCAGGTATTTTTGAACAGCATACAGACTGTATTCCACCTGCACATCCTTAAAGGATAGAGGACAAAGACTGTTTTATCTGGGGACAAGAAAAAACGCTATCCCATAAAAAAACAACAACCAACAATCAATTACCCATTATTGAAATTATATTACGTACCATCTCCTCCCTCTATGCACAAGTATATTGGCAATCATTATGTGATATTCCAAGGCATAGAATTGTTGTAAGTAGTCAGATACTGAACACAGACAACCAAATTACAATTAAGTTGAGGAGAAAAGAAGGGGTAATCATCTCTAGGCCACTAAAGACAGCACTGAGACTGTGTCTTGCAGGGAAAGCCTTACTGTAAGAAACTACACACCTGGGAATTGCTGGGAATTACACTGCTATGCACCTTCCTTCTGGAAAACAAATCTTTAAGTTTCTTAAAACACCTTCAGTAAGCTTGGAGCAGAACAGTGGGCAAATTCTACAACAGTTCCAGTTTGTTGGTTCTGTGACATAACTTTCACTAGACCACACTGAAGACGTTCTGATGACACTGTCAGCCACAAGAGAGTATCCATGAATACATGAATACCCAAAGTGTGCTGTTTCTATTGAACGATACTTGGTGAAAGCTTGAGGTGACACACAGGTCAATTTCAAGGACTTTTCTCTCTCACACATAAACCTTTAAGGCAAATGAAACAGATTTCCACAGTGACCATGGAAATTTGAAAGCCTAAAAAGACATATAGAACCCTCATCTTTTTGATTAAAGGTTTTAGTATGTTTCTTCAGCATAAGAAGAAATTGGGAAAATACCCTTTCCCCAAAAGTCTTTGGAGCTTTATTTACTGAAGCAAAGTAATAAATGGTTTTCTGATCTTTGTATGTTTTTTGCTTTTTATTTTTTTAAGAATTCCCTAAAGAGGGATGAAGATATTTGTTTTTGTTGAAATTAACTGCCTAAACTCTAAGATTCAAAAGTGTCAGTGTTGGCTGTCTCCTTTTAGCTTGTAAAGTCTCTTGTCAGACCCTGAAAACTGATCTGCAGTACTTGCACACCTCAACCACACTCAGATGCATCTGACTATACCATAGCTTGTGGAGCACAGGATGTTGATGGAAGTGAGAGGGCTGTTGTCAGTATGCTCTGCCTTAGCAACCAGGCATTATGGTTGACCTTGGTTTTCAACAAGCATGTACCAGTTCTCATTAAGGGGAAAGGAAGAGAAAGAAAAGGAAAATACCCCTGAAGACCACACAGAAAATACAGTGCATTTCCAGCAAGAAGAGTAATTTTACTTTCTAGCCAGTCCTACATATAATCCTGAACCCATCACACTGGTCTTCTCTCATCCCTGAACACAACAGAACAACAAAGGCCAGCTCTACCTTCCACTTGAATGGCACAAAGGGACTGTGCAGATTCTTGGTCTGTGTTTACCAATACATTAAGCTTTGTAGTAGAAAACAAAACTTAAGATCAAGTCCAGATAGAGCCCAAAGACAGTATCCTTTCCTGTGCTTAAAAGCTACGTGCACCAACACTGCATCAAATTTCTTTCTTCTATTATAATAACAACAAATGAGGGAAATACCTGAAGGCCCAACTCCAGAGAAACTTTCAGAAGAGTTATATCTGGCAAGCTGTCCATGAGTGTTGCTATTTTAAATGCATCCTGGGCAAGTTTGAAGATGTGTGATGAGGAGTGGATATTTTTCTGGATGGACTCTAACACTGTTTCTAGTCTCCGAACATCACCTGCAAGGTGTAAACAAAATCACCAGAATGGAATAAGCACCCAAAACACCCAGAGATCAATTATAACTGAGCCTGACATTGCTATGCAATAGTATGATGTTTCAATTACACACAGTTTGTTTTTGGAAACCTAAGAGACCACAAACTGCTCTGTCTGAAGGTATTAGTGCAGTGCAGGGCCAAAAGTCATGCTGATTTGTGAATTTTAGAACTGACTTGTCCACTTTTGGTCTCATAGTCAATGTCATGTGTCAGGAGAATAAAAAGGTGTCTCATCAGCTCATCTAGCTACCAGCTAACTAAATTAAATACATTGCTAGAAAATTATATGACAGATTTAAGCCAGTTCAGTTTGTTATGCCCATTTCAAACTACTGCCAGACTATGACCTGGACTCCTAAGCATGAGTTTTATGATCTGTTTACCCATGCGATATTAAAAACACACATTTAGTTGAGTACGTAACTGACAGCAATGTACCTTTGGCTGCTGTTAGCATGGTTGATGCCAGCTCACACTGCTGGGATTCGATATGACTTAGGGTGAACCAGCGGGGATACCGGTTTGGAACAACAGATGCAATGTGGTGAGGGCGGGACAGGTCTCCTGAAGGAGCTGTGGATTCCAGTACCAGCAACCTGAAATAAGAAAGAAATCCTCTTTCATTAAACCACTACTATACTTGGTTGCTCATGGGCTAAACTAAAGCTGCAAGAATACTTCGTATTGTCTATAAAATATGCTTTTTCAGTTTCAGGGAAAAAAAAAAAAGGAAAACCACTTCTCTTCTTCGGGAATCTCGAAAGTTCACTTGCCAAACTTTCTGATATCAACAGGTGTTTTTAACCTAGTGGTATTTTATAATGTACCCTAACCAGATGTTAGGGTCCCAAACAGCAGTGATAGAGAAGTTTCCTTTAATATGACTTTCAGACTCCATTTTCTCATCAAGTATTCATAAGTCAACAACAATCTTACCCAACAAGGAACATTCATACTTAAAAAATTCAAATTAATGTGTTGTTGACTACTACAATCCAAATGACAGCCACAGCAAAGATATAACCTTACTGCCCTTGCAACACACTAAATACTGACAGTACGTCAGCTACTCTATAAATGTCAGTACAAAAAGTCAGAGTGAACAAAAATAGGCTTTTTTTTCAATATAGTCAAGCACAGTTTCAGCATATGAATGGTTAAAGAAACAGTAATAAGGCTGTGTGCAGAAGAAAAGCTTTTCCAGTGCTTAGCTTCTTGATGGCTCTTAGTATCTGAGGTCTGTTTCTACCAGCTTTCATATGCATGTGATTTTCTAGAAGGAAGCGATCTGTGAGGATCAGAGAAGTTGCATCTCTTTTGTCCTGCAAAGAGACAAAACTGCAACTACTGAATATTGAAAATCCAGCATGTTGTTTTTCTGTGATAGACTATTTCTTATAGAATAAGCCCATTTAAATGTAAGTTACAATTTCTTGTATTTAAATAAATACCTAAGTGCTGTAAGCAGCTGTGGAGTATGTTGTTGGTTTGTTTTTTTTTTTTTTTTTTTGCATTAAGATGGATTTGAGTTCCATCAGGTTTTTTTAGATTCCTGAAGCATGTGATATATTAGTAAAATAATAATACAGTATAGTAATATATTTAAGAATTCACTGAGAAAGGTAATTTTGAATATATGGAAAGGCATCTAGCAGGCCCATAAAAATACAACACACCACCCAAATAACTATCACACACATGCAAGAGCATGAAAATAAGAAAAAAAAGTAGTATCAAATCAAATCTATTCTCCAGCAGCACAAAGACACCTCTTCATAAACACATTCTAAAGCTGATTTTTTCCAAGCATAGAGTGAGGTTACAGAGGTGCATTATAAGATAGCTTCAATTAACAGAAAAGATCCTAACTATTAAACTAAGAAAGGGATTAGTAGGTTATGAGTAAACAGACAACAAGTATGAAAGAAAGGCTGTTTTGGAGAAATCTTTTGTCACTTTGCATTTCACTGCCGGCTTCTGTGCTCTTTTGCTGAGAAAAGATGTGCTGTTGTGAACTGGTGCCTTTCACACAATTTTGGCAAGGTTAGGGAACACCAGAAAAGTTCAAGTAGATTTAGTATTCTTAACTATTTTTTCCCCTTTGAAACATCAATTATTTAGTTAGATTTTGGCAAAGCTGCCTTGTGAATAAACACCATTAAAGTCTGGTCCCAAAGCCTGGCTGAAACTCAGGCTTAACAAGGGATCAAACCAAACTAAGCCAAACATTCAAGTTCAGATTCCAAGTGAGCAGTCAACTGCAGATCCACGATCTCCAAGGCTGTGCGCCATATGTTTCAGTGCTGCAAGCAAAAAACTAGATACCAGTGACCATCAAGGACTGCACAACCTGATCCTTGCAGATCTGAGATGCATACATGAACGGCATTCTGGTCTCAGTTGCCATTTATTTCATGTTAAGTGTAAAATACACTAAAATAGGACTCAAAAAATTAAACAGCAACATGTATTTTTAAATACAGAGAGGTTAAATACACCTGAGCTGCCATGGGTAATTGACCTTGTAGACTTGTATGTAGACTAAAACTAAACACTTCCATCTGAAGAGCAACTACACGGATCTTGGGAAATTAAATTTTTTAACAAACGTGAGTTAAGAAATATGCTTCACTTCTAAAAGCATGAGCAGCTGTAGAGATTTCCATGCAGCACCTTTATTAACTTTCACATGGGATTGCTGTCCTTGCCACACAGCTACTTCCCCTCTCCCATGGAAGACAAGATGCTCAAATTTTCATCTGACCCATTCAACTTCTAAGCATGAGACAGACATTCCATCTTCATGTTTGCTTTATTCTTGTCCCCTTAAGGCAGTATTACATTACTTTTTCATTTGGTTTGTATTGGGAGTCCTTTATTTACTGAAGTAACATTCTGGTGTGAATGGAAAGAATAATCATCCTTCTTCAGGAGAATTTAAGAAGTGCAGAAGAATGCAGACAGACACAGAATAGAAAACATCTGAATCTGCCATCACTACCCTTGAAGACAGCAGTCCACATTTCTGAAGAGTGCCAAATATCAAACTACAAAAAGAAAGATTATTATCTAGGACAGAATCTTCATCTGTCTTATAAAGTGACAAAAAAATGGCTATAGAGTGAAAACAGCCCTGACTACACCGATGTCTCCTGTGATTTTACCAGATGGAAACAAAAAGACTATTCTTTCTTATACTGGTCTATTTAGAAAGTAATTTCTTTGGTTGAGATGACAGCTTTATAACAAATGAGGGCTGGAGCTACCCAAGACTAACTGGAGATTTCATCATTTGGATCTTTCAGTGTCTTGTTTGTTTTTCTAGTTGAGAAAGGAAACTTCCAAAAAAGTTTTCAGTTTTGACTGGTTTCTTGGCAAATCCTTGTTCAAATGAAACTGCATATTGACTCCATGTTCACTGAGGCAGTCAGGAAAGCTGCTGATGGATGACTACTCCAGCCTTGGAGGATCATTTCAATAGCTTAGTTTAAGGAGAAAAAAATCCATACAAACTTAGAAAAATCATACCTCTTGAGAAATACTTTAAGGTAGTAACTGAAAACAAATACAAAACAAGTATGTTTTATGAAAGAATTAACTTTTTTCTTTAAAAAAACCCCAAAATCAAACCAAACACAACCAAATCAACCAAGGAAACAACAAAACCAACCAAAAAAACCCCACGTACCAAATTTTGTACTATCTTCCTGTTCTGATATAATCAGTAATTCATGCACTTACCTTGAGATAAAAGATTAGCAAACTTAAGTGGCCCCAGCTTTCTGATTACACATTTGAATGTTCTCAATAGTTCATCAGTAATGTACTTTTATCTTCTCAGTCTATTTCCTAAAATGCTAATTGTAACCAGCAAGTATGCGTGGTCACTCTTCACATTTTTAGACTCTTCCCATAACATCCATTACTAGACTCTCTTGGAGGCAGAAAAATACCCAACAGGCTAAGCAGACCTTTGGCTTAAACTGACAGCTATTTTGCTCTTTTGCAGGGCCTCCATTTAGTCCTTCAAACACAGGAATTGTTTTCACTCCAGTTAGCTTTTTGGAGAGAGTACCTCCAAAATAAACACCTCCAAACCATACAGACACGACCTGTTTGATGAAGCTAAATATTCTTTATGTGGATAGGGCATCCTTCAATCACCGTGTAACCATGCTTGGTGATAATGACCAGGAAAACTCAACATTTTTTCTTTTTTATCATCTAAGACTTGACTGCTCTTAATATTCAGCTGTGGCTATTCTTTGCAAACCACCAACTACTAGGTTCTTGACAGTGAGCAGACAATTCAGATGGGACCACTTTCTTCCCTGCATTCTATATGGACAACAGTTTCACTATTGTCCACATAGAATAATCAGTATCACTGATCATTTAGGCCCTTGAAAATTCATTCAGAAGTCTTTTCTTAGATATCATTACCAATCTGACCTGTCCTGAGACAGCACACACTGAACACTGCCTGAGAAACATCTTTTTCCTGATTACTGAAGACAAATAGGATGCAAACCAGACATTTTTCAGTCATTGGATGTAGTCCGTTTAGATCCCAACATTCACGCAGAAGAGACTAAGATGTTATGAAGCACCAAAAAATGCACAGGCTCTGACCACACCCACTCCATTGTTGAGAGTCAATTTATAAAGAAGATGAGTGTAACAAATTGTCCAGCTGAGCAGACTAAGCAGCAAACAATCCTGAGACTTATGGTAAAATACGTCTCCTTATTTCATTACGAATACCATCATGCACACACAACCACATGGGTGGGAGAATCCATATGCTAAAGTGGCTTTATAACCCAAAATCTTGCGCCCCACATGTGGGATTCTAGAATTATCTGAAATAGAAAATCCTGTTTTACAAGTCTAAATAAACATTAATTGGACACTTATAAATTATTATAATATAGTTACTAAAAATACCATTTTACTTTTATAGATGACAGAACCAAAACAGTACCTCCTTGACTCCTTGAATGGAAGAATACGTATTTTAGAAAAAGCAAATAGGTCTTGATTAGCAAACCTTTCCTTCCTTTCCATATCTGCTACTCGTGCTCTTTTTAGGCTACTCATGAATACGTACCGCATGGCTCTCAGTGCAGTTTTGTATGCCAATTCAGCATCATGAGGTAGGAGAGAGGTGAAGAGATACTTGGCAAATGTGTGCATTGGAACACTCTCTCGATGGATGACTTCCCCTAAGCCACTATATGGTCCACCTGCAGGAAAGAGAAACAGAATGTCAGTCTTTACAAACTGCTAGACCCCAACTTCTGAACCTTTAAAAGCATTCGGTACACCTTTAGCTAGAAGTGGTATTCAAAGACTCCTGCTTCACCTTACAAAAGGTGAAGTTACATTGCTACTTTCAGTGAAATAGATAACACATCATATATACACAATGTATTACAGTTATATTAAATACCATGTATTATTTAGGAAAACAAGATACACTGCAAATTGTATAATACTAAGCACACTGCCAGTGCTTATACGAATGACAGAATGATTACAGTACTTCATGGGACTCATTCAGCAAATCTGGTATGCAAAAGTAGAAAGTCATAATCCTAGCTCTGCCTCCAGAGAGTTATATTATGCACATCAATACCCATATATCCTGTCAGTGTGCCACTGCTTCATCACAAATTCACTATGAAAAAAAAATGATGACCATAGAAAAGTGTGCATCTTTAATTGAAATTACATGACTAATCACCACAGCAGCACCTGATCCCTCAAATGTCTCACCTGACACTGGCATTTAAATAACCCTTTGGTCTGAGTGCAGTCATGACTCAAGTCCCAGGTCCTACCCTTGGGTCACAATAACCCCAGGCAGCTCCACAGGCTGGGAACAGAGTAACTGGAAAGCTGCTCAGTGGAAAAGGACCTTGGGTTGCTGGTGACATGAGTCAGGGTGGCGAAGAAGGCCAATGGCACCCTAGCTTGAATCAGCAGGACCAGGGCAGGGACTGTCCCCCTGGACTGGGCACTGGTGAGGCCACACCTCAAGTGCTGTGTCCAGCTCTGGTACATCACTCCAAGAAAGACACTGAGGTGCTGGAGTGAGTCCAGAAAAGGGCAATGCAGCTGGGGCACGCTCTGGAGCACAAGTTCTGAGAAGTAGATGAGGGATCTGGGAGTGTTTATCCTGGAGAAAAGAATGCTCAGGGCAGACCTTTTGATTCTCTACCCCTGCCTGAAAAGCCCTAGACAACCAGAGACAGGATAAAAGGAAATGGGTTCAGATTGTGCTAGGCAAGGTTTAGACTGGATATCAGGAAAAACTTCTTAACTGAAAGGACAGTCAGGCATTGAAATAGGCTGCCCAGGGCAGTGGTAGAATCACTATAATTGAAAGTGTTCAAATTAAGTGTGGATTTGTCACTGAGGAACATGGATTAGTGGTGAAGATAGTGACGGCTGGCTGAATGGCTGGACTCAATCATACTATTAGTCTTTTCAAACCTGAGCAATTCTATGATGATGAACACGGGCTCAGATCATGCACCAAAGCTGGCTGTTAGTCCAGTATACCCACATGATTTCAGAAATTCTATTTTATTTATGTGAAAACTATCCCTATTATTGGGGAAATGGATTTTTCTTTTTCAGTAAGGTGTAGATTTCAATTTGATAACAGCAGAATCATGTGAGACAACAACAAAGTCAAATGCAACTATTTACTTGCTGAGTTTCAAAGGTTCACAGTGCATATGAACCCTATTTCTTCATTTTTTCCTGCACACCTAAGACTATTATTCCTGTTAATAGGAAAACTATGTCAAACAGTTTTTGAATTCAGTGACAAGAGGTTCAGGCATTAAATGCTGCAAGATACAGAATAAGAACATTGTATTAAATATTACTGGACAATTGCACAGATAACACTCAGTAGTCCCAGAAGCTACTACTACTTCTACTAAGACTCCAACCAATCACACTTGAAAGGATGGATGCATGGATGGATGGATGGATGGATGGATGGATAGCTGTGTGAATGCACTTCTGTTTCAGCAATGCTTTTGACTGCTACCTTAGCAAAACATGCAACGATAGAAATCACTAGGCATGAAAAAATTCTCCGCTCCATAGGTGGATATTTCTAAAGACTAGGGCTGATTGCAAAGGAAATGTCAAAGATTTAATAGGTGACAGTTTATCTCATAGCCATTTGAAATGAAGCTGAAAGCCATTCAAATCTAGCTGGCATTGCTTGAATAAAAGAAGTCATTTCATGTATGTTTGTCAGTTGGTGGTCCAGTCATAAACTCAGTCAGGAGACAAGGAACACATGACAAAGCATTTATATGAAAATATATTCAGCCATTAACTTAGCAGTCAAGCAAAAAATCAGAACAGTTCTCGCAAAGCAGTTTTATGTTCTGCTTTCCCACATACTCAAATGGTAGCTACACACAGCATGCATTAATCTGCATTAATAGCAGAGAAATTAGCTTAATATTGGATTAAGTCTTCTTTATTGTATCTACCAAATTTCAACTGAAAACTCACAGTTGGTATGATCAGCACCTTCCCCTCCATGTAAACTAGCAGTTTCTGCCTAACATGGAGCAAACTGAAACTACTGCAGAAAAGCCAGCTTTCTCATCACATACTAATGCAAAACAACTGCTGCACATTGCTCACAACAGCAATTTTTTAGGCAGTTGTATTTGCAGAGTTCCTGTTATGATCAGTTCTTTACTACTCTTAAGAAAATATTCAGTGATCATAGTAGTAAACTGAATTATTGGAGAGTATGTCAGAAAAATCCTGCCTTTTCCTCATAAAGCATCCTTACCAGTGAACAGATGTGGCAAACTGATTTTATAATGCAGAGGAAGCCTGTATGCTAATAGCTAGATCAAGACAGTAGTTTTTCTTGTCAAAAGGCCATAAAGCAGCTGTACAGACACACCATGATGGAAACTTTCCCTGTGTTGCAGCTTCTTTGCAGTTTCAAATCTAGGCAAAAACAGTGACTTAAAGCTGGGAACCCTAAGCAACATATTGTACCTCTTCCATAAAAGACGAAGTTTTAAAGGACTAATGTGTCACAAAAATAGAGTAAAACCTGACTGCTGTGCAACCATCTCTCAACTTACCTAGGGCAGTACCACACTCGCCTTCAAGCCATGTGCATGCACTTGAAACCTGGGTGTCCCACCCAGCTTTCAAAAATCTGGATCATGCCTTTGGCTAATTTTTTCCCAAGATTCCATTCAAAAAGAACAAAAACCAGAAAGACAACCTTGGAACCCATGACATCACTCTCTAAACATGATGCTTATGTGCTACACGTCTAGCCTTTTTCAAAGTTAAGGCAAAAGTATGCATGTTCATATACAGAAGTTATTTCAACGCTGCCTAATTCCAAAGCACAAATTGTGTGTCATGTTCATAACTTAGGCACAAGACCAGACCTGAAGCCACAATATTTGGCCAAATACTTTAATTTCCACCTATGACATAAAACTTCAAAGGCAAGTAATCTTCTATATTTTCACACATAAAATGTTGCATTTCTGTCTCAGCAATTATATGTGAATTTTATGAGCTCTTCACTTTGGCACAGTGGTCAAAATCTTCATATATTTATAAAGCTGCCAGTATAGTTCCTTCCACAGAATACAAGGAATACTTAGAACTTTGGTATCTGGGAACTGTTGATAACTGATGTCTGTATTATATAATAGTTAGCCCAGAGTGTATAATCAGGTTTTTGAGATTGTGACATGCAACAAATGTAAAGAACAAAGTGTATTCAAAATTAAAATAAAAGGTCAGTATATGCCTTATCTCTGCAGTCACATGGTATCTAAGTATGGCAATTTTCGTACAAGATTTGATAAAAACGTTCATGGAATTCTAAGCAAAACAAAACATGAAGAATGTAAGGCAGTTTCTACAGGAAACTGTGTACTTGTGTCAGTGGAGACAATTTAGAGAAGCAGTTAGCATATATATTCAGCTACCTTCTAATAGGAAGACTGCTTGTTTTCGAAAAATCTTCACCAGAGTATCATCCAATTCAATTTCTTGTAGCTTAGAAATGAGCTGCTCCTCATTTCGACAAACCTTCTCTTGTGCATACAAGCCATCTGGCATTATTCGCTGCTGTCCCAGCCCTATCAATGCTACTTCCACAGCCAGAGTTAAGTAAGATTCCCCTTCTTCTAGGAACTTGTGTGCAGGCAGGTGCTGGTACTCCAGAGATTTGCATTGCCCCAGGTTCTCTGTAAGTGGTGACACAGAAAGGAAAACACATCAGCAAACCATTTTAACCCATAATCTGCCTTCAATGCCACATATACAAAAGCTTCCACCGTTAGTACTACCATTTCAGAATTATTTAAATTATTAACCAGTCTCAAAATACAACACTCCAATCTAAAATATGTCATCTGATTCCGTATAGCATAAATACACAAAAATAATTTGGTTTTAAATAATCCACTCAAGTAAAAATAAAGGTTTTCATTTTAAACCGCACAATTTTTAAAAAAGGCAGCTCCTCCAGCTTTGTGTTAATGAGGCCAAAATTGCAAGATACATTCCAATTTCTTTCCCTACCCATTTCTTTATTTCCTTAAAGCCCTGATGTGCAAGAGGAAGGGAAAAGTGCTTTTACACCTATGTAGATGTCGGTTGAAGTTATTAGAATTGTGCAAATACACCAGGACCGGGAACTCCTCACCTTTAATATATGCGCTGTTTGCTAGCACTCTTTTCATGCTTTTAATTTGTTACACTTGTGCTTATGATAAAAATGCATATTGTTAACATTAGAAGCCCTATTTTTAGTAAAAAATTACAAGGAAATCCCACACAGGCAAAGCCATAAACTTTTTTAAAGACTGCTATCAATTCATTTGGCACTTCACAGACACAACATATGACAAAATGCTATTTCAGCTTGTAGCATTTTACAGTCTAATTTGGGAACAAAAAGTTGTAGTTGTCAGATATAAGGAGATGCGCAACTGCAAAAATGGAAAGGCTGAATGTACTTGGAAGACTGCATGTGTGTGTACAAAAGGAAGTTACTTTTCTGCACACAATATTTTTATTTCATGGGGTTGTTTTGGTTTTTTTAGTAACAGCAGAGAATCTGATTTCCAAATTTTTTAATTGCAAGATTTTCCAGAACTGGTGGGTAAGAGAATAGAGATTTATTGAAGAAAATCTAATTGAATAAAAGGATTTTTGAGGCAAAGTCTCACGAAGATTGTGGATGTGTATATACAAAAGCTTCAGGTAAAGTAATGAATCCAGTTTCTGTCCACACTAGTTGTGTTAAGAAGTTACCCCAAAGGTAGAAAGAGACTACGGAATTAATCAGTTAAAATCCAGGGGAGCAAATACTGAAATTGAAATGGCTATACATATCCTATCCCTATCCTAAATCATGTATTGATATAGCAACACTATTTTCCAACTCCTACCACTTACAGACTATGTATGTTTCTAATTTCAAGAGTTTTGTCATTGTTCTGGAGTATTATGAACACTGTAGCTAAGAAATCCAATAACATCTAGGGCTGTCTTTAGGAGTGTTGCCAGCAGGCTGAGGTAGGTGATCTTGCCCATCTGCTCAGCACTAGTGAGCCCACATCTGGAGTGCTGTGTCCAGCTGTGGGCTCCCCAGCAAATGGGCATGCTGTGGGCATCTAGTGTGGGAACACAAAGATGATTAAGGGACTGCAGAGTCACTCATATAGTAAGAGTGAGAGAGGTGGGATTATTTAGCCTGGAAAAGAGAGGGCTCAGGAGGATCTTACCAAAATGTATATATATCTGATGGGAGAATGTAAAGAAGACAGTGCCAGACTCTTCTCAGTGGTATCCTGTGACAGGACAAGAGGCAATGGGCACAAACTGAAATACAGGAAATTCCATCTGAGCATAAGAAAACACGTTTTAACTATGAGGGTGGTTGAACACAGCAGGAGGTTGCCCTGGAAGGTTGTATAGTCTTCATACTTGAAGTTGTTCAAAACCCAAATGGACACAGACCTGAGCAATGTGCTGCTCTAGGTGACTCTGCTACAAGCAGACTAAGTGGACCAGCTGATCCCCAGAGGTGCCTTCCAAACTTAAAAACTCTGTGATCCTGTGATTTCCTGCAATTTCTCAGAACGAGGACAGTGCAATGTATGTGGAGAAGACTGCTGCTATGAAGTCATATTAGGTTTTATTTCAAACATGAAATACGGAATTTTCTTCAAGAATGACTAACTGGTAACTTTAAAGTGCTTTCTTAGTTTATACATTTTCTCCCCCTTGTGCTTTCCTAAGGCATGCAAATGTAAGTTCTTATGCTATATAAATAGTGACTTTGAAGCTGATACAAAAAGGGAAGACAGAAAAATACCTCCAGTAAATGAAGACATGTACCAGACTGCTGCATTTTCTTGGTCTTACCCGTGAAATCGGAGAATCCATGGAAGCTGTCATCGTCCACCCTGCAGGCTTCCATCAGGCTACCAAAAAGGGTGCCAATGGGGTCCAAAGGGTGTCCCACCCAGCCTTCAAGATTTGTTATTGAGGTTACTCCCCTGTGGAGAAGTTCTGTGGCAAGAAACACACACAGAGGAGGGACAGAGGGAAAGAAAGCTCTTGTAAGCCCATCAAAACAATTACACAAGTGAAACCGCTTAAAATGCCCTTTCTGCAGAATTCAAAGCATTTCCAGGTAGTTTCTGCATAGAAAGAGAAAATAATATCTTTCAGGGTGAATTCACTGCCCTTAGTGAATATGTAAATGGGGAATAAGAAAAGAGAAAAAATGGAAGCCAGACATTTTGGGCACTAGCAAGCTTATTATGGGTCAAAAATTTCAATGGCAATGACTTCCGAAATCTCTTCCTTGATACTACTAGAACTCTTCTGAAAATGTCTGCTTGAAGAATTACAACAAGGAACTTTTTTGGTAAAATATTTACAACAATTTGCTCATTCAAAAAGACACAGTACCCTTTTTACATTTTTAAGTTAATCTGATGGAACTGAAATAAATTAAAATATTCTAAAATATGTTCCAATTTCATGAATTATGAGCTCATACAGCACCTCTCTCTTTCTTTGTCTGCACTAAACTCAGGATGACAGTTACTTAAAAAAACCCCAACAACTGTTTAAATGAGGTATACAAGAAAAAATTATCTTTTTATAGGATCCAGTGTATTTTTGGTAATTTTAAGATTTTAGTCCAGAAATATCTTCATAAATATTTTTCTGTAGCCCTTATCCGTTACTTGGTTAGAACAAAGCAAAAATGTTAAGTGCAGTGAACTGGAGGAAGTGTGATTGTGGTAACAGGTATTTGCTATTCCCCAAATCCACGTCCTATGGCAACAACTCCCCTTGACACTCTCAGCTTTTTTCCTCCCAGACATACAAACACAAGTAAATAATGAGAGATCATTTGAGAGTATTATTGACTACCCTCTAAAAACTGTATACAAGCCATTATAGCTGCTCTGCTTCTCTGCCTGTCACACAGTAACTTTTACTGCCCTTCACTCTCTCTTGTTCACAAAGCGTCATATAACTGAGTAACCATATGCATTAAACTTTTAAGTCCTGCTTTCTCCTATTTAAATGTGTGGGGATACAAAATGAAATACAGACACACTGTCAGGATGGTAGAGTTTTTTTTCAAGAATCCACTGGTATGTAATATGAAAAAACCCAAGTAAATTATCCCTTTACCTAACAAATAGTAAATACATCAGGGTGACTTCTTACTGATTCACTTTGTTCTGTTTATTCTGTTGTGCCTACTTGTGAGCTTCTCTTGTGTCATGCCAATCAAAGGCTTCAATTGTCTCGTCAGAGACATTTAACTTAAAATCACACAAGGGGCTCCATGGATCAGATCAGCTACATGAATAAAAGCCAAGCAGAAGCATGGGGTGTTTGCTGAACAAAAAGCCTAGAGCTGGGCTGTAGCTGCAGTTTGCCTCTGGTTATAGAGACCAGCACACTTTATGGTATTAAAAGAGTCTTTTAAATATTCCCCATGAAATTAAAAAATAAAAGCACTGAGGGACAACACAGAAACAACAAACTACTTTGTTTCAGGGCAGGATGGATCACATTATCACATTTCATGCACTTTTTAAAAACAATAATAGAATATTAGGTGATAGCTACAGAACCTGCTCACAAGGAAAGGAATTTAACAGAGTTGCTGAATGTCTACATGCTGCACTAGCAACTGGTAATGAAAAGAGGCACTATTATAACAAGCACACTTGCAACAGATTCCTCACACCTACCAATGGTACAAACATACAGTGACACAGGCACCTCCCTTCTTAACAAAAGAACATTTTAAAAAATCTTACTCCATTTTTAGGTGTGAAAAAGATACAGAGGTACATAGGAACTGCAGCTAAATTTTTTTTCAGTTAGGTGCATATCTTCTAAATGCTCATTTCTGGGAAAACATCTGAACACACACTTGAAAAATTTACACGTGACTTAACACTGGTAGTTTTGACTACAAAACACGAGGATACACACAGTTTAGAGTAACAGAGAAGAGCTAATATAAAATTTGAATGAAAAGACTAGTGTAGCAGCTGAGAAAGTAATTCCAGTTTTTCCACATACACTCTTCTACCACAAAGCTACCCCCTTCTTCCACTGCCTCTTCAAACTACGAAGGTTCAGAGCAAAATCATTCTGGGTTGCAAGGATCATGTGCCAAAGAAAATGTATCTGAAGGAGAACACCCCTTCAAAAAAAAACAATAGTAGTGATCAGTAAAATACCACAAATATTTTATAAAAAACTACATTAAAAAACCCAAACCAACAAAAAAAAAAACCAAAACCAGTCAATAAAACAACAAAAAAAACCCCCACACAAAAACTCAATCCCCCTCTCTATAGAGAATTTTAAAATTTTAAGCGTTTTAAGAGATTCTCTTGGAACACACTGCCAAATTTGATGATTTTTGTAGTTCAGACTTTGCCTCATTGTACCCTCTAGACTTACACTTCAGATTATAAAGCTCAGCAAAATTATAGATCAGAGAAAAAAAAAATTAAACACCAGACATGCCAAATGCAAAGTCACCCTGTAAACAGGGTGACTGTTTTCATTGTGTAACCAAAACCTCTGACTGGAATAAAGACCCTATCATGCCATATATATTGGAGAAGGCCTGTAAGAGCCCTGCACAGCTCACAACACAGTTTACAGAAAACCTCTGACATCCAAAATGTGACATTACCACTACCCAGACTGAAGAGTTAAAAGCCATCTCTTTCACTTTAGTTTCAAAACCAGTTTCCTAGTTTCCTCATGTAAACTTCCTGGTGTTACTGTCAACTTGCATGCCCTCTGCCCTCCTCTTCCCACATTTACCTTTCTTCTGAGCCCGGAACATTTCCAGCTGTTTTTGCTGCTGCCTCCTTAGTGTATTAACAATAGCTATTGCTAGCCTCAGTGCTTCTCGTGGGTATCCATGAGATCGTAATGCATCCACCCTTGCGCAGGCTGTAGGAACATGTTCTAAAACAGAAAAAGTAACTGAAGAATAGCAACACCTCCTTAAATGCAATGGCCTGTTTTGCTAGGTTACTCAAAAGGGCTTTTTTGTTTCAATTTTTTTCTGTTTTGTTTTTAAAATTATGCAAGAGATACTTAAAGGACTACTTCTGTGCCAACATTTCAAGGGAACCTCTGTTCTTTTTGCCAGACTTTTCACCCGTCTCCCCACTACATCCCCCCTCAAAATAATGCCATAGAAAATAAACAAAGCACCGAGTCACAGAAACATCTTTCCGGTTTAGCCACTTACCATGCCAGAGGGGCCACCCCTGAGAGTCAAAGAGCAAGTTTTCAGTGTCGTCATGGTAACAGTAGTTGGTGTATAGGTCACTGCTGATAATGTGCTGTAAGTGGCTGTCCTGCCAGTGCAGATCGCATGCCTCAATGGCTCGAGTAAACACTGTCCGATGTGGCCTGTTCGATGAATCTGTCATTTTCACAGGTTTAGAAAGCTGCATCAGGTTTTACTCATTCATATACGAATCAGTCATTCACAGTATTCCTGTCTTCTGCCTATTCACAACCCCCAGCCAATGGCAGTCTGCCTTGCCCTCTCTCCACCAAGCACCTCACAGATGACATTTCGCATCCTATTATTACCCAAGAGCCCAGATGACGTGTGTGCCATTCATCTTGCATTCAGAGAGAGATCTAGAAAGCAGCACAGCTGATGCCAGACAGGACTGTGCACAGAGAATTCCTAGAGGTGAAGGACTTTCAACAGCAAGTACAAAGTAGAAAGTATTTGTTTCATATTATGTTTCAAAAACATAAAGACGCATTCAAGCATCCCCAGTGTCTCTCCTCAGATCCGCAACTGTCAGAATAAAGGAGGGATAAATTGCATTAAAAATTTGTAGTTTTTCTTTCTCAGAAGAGACGCTAACTTTAAGCACTTGTATAACTTTGTTAGTCATGAACATAAACAAATACTATTAATAAAGTGAGGTCCTGAAGCCATGGGGCTGACATAATCCTCACTAGGCATCTTCTTATGGCAAAATTTCTCTAGCGACATGGCACTGCATCTGTCAATGCTCAGAAGCCATGTCAGAGTTATCAACAGTATGTCCAGGTCGGTCTGAACATGATGAGGAAGCAAAATGCCTCAGTCAGGGCTGAAAGAACTTATCTTCCTGGCCAGCTCTGAAATTTAATAATGAATCAAGTTTTTTCCTTCACAGGTGATCTTGCAAGAAAAAGAAACAACAATAAACCCAACTAAGTGCAGATCTGACACCTACCAAGAAATTTACTTTTAACTTTAGTGCAGTTGTATGCAGTATATATTATTACTGATGGTTTGAGGATTCTGAGCAGTTTTACCTGCAAAAACACCATGCACTTTGCCTAGTTATTAGCAGTCATCTTTGTTTGATGATGATTGTACAAAGCTTCTGTCAGGTTTGAATATCACCTTTTAGATTAGAAAGCAAGATATCAAATACAAAGACACCTCCTCCAAGGCAGCAGCATCGCAGCTGCATGGTCCACACACCTACTAATGCAGACAGCACATACAGAGCACATCCTACAGACAGATGCTTCAGTGTCTCACATGCAAGTTTCATGTAGTTTAAAAAGATCCCTCTTTTAAACAGCTATCAAGGCTTTGTAACTGCAAGCAAAATAAAAACCCCAATAGCAGAAGGAATATTATAGTCAAGCAAAAAACAACAAGCTTTTACACATATACTTCAAGGACATCCAATTTTCATGCAACAATATTTAGAAGCACCAAGTGAAGAGTTAGAAGACCTAATAAAACACAAATAACTGCTCTGAAAGTGTTACAGCCCTACAAAAAACCACCTATTTGTTCTTCTGCAAAGACAGCATTAGTACAACTGATTTTCCCTGGTCAGTTCTCAATAAGAAAGTAACTTGTTCCAGATAAGAGTGCTGAATTCTGCAAGGCTAGAGTGTGTAAGAAATAAGTTGCATTATATATTGCAGTCAGTACACACGTTTAGGCTCACCTTGGTTAGCATTTGCACCCTGAGGCAAAGCATTGGTTAAATTGGGCAGCTCGTTTCCATGGTTTCCATCTTCCCAGGGACAAACATCCACACTGCTCCATTTTTTCAGCTGTTTTAGCCAACTGGACTTCTGCTCCAACTTGCAGTGGGGATTTAAGACTATACACATCCACAGAGCACCTGATTTAAAAAAAATTGCTAAATTATGTTTTCTATTAAAAATGCAGCAGCCAATGACTAATTGCAAACTTCTACAGCATATACTTTTTCTCCACTGAAAGGCTACACTGCTTGCTTCCCAGCTACGCTTAACACCAGACAAATTGAATTCCTGATACAGGCACTTGGGCTGGCATGGCCAGTCTGAAGCAGCTGAAAGATGGTACCAAGCCAGCCTTGTCAATTAAAAGGCATTAGTAGGTCTTTTGTATTAGAAATCCAGAGTTCCCAGTGTATGGCTTATCAGGCAGGAACATCAGCCAAAGGCAAAAAAGAATTCACATAAAGTTACAAAAGTTACATTAACCAAGTTTTTCTTCTAATTCCTGTATCAGAAGTGAATGTTGTTTTACATAAATGAGAACTATGTATCTTTCAACTTCACATTACAGGAAACAAAGACTCACATTAGTAAGGCAAGCACCTTGTAAACATACACTTTCACACTCAGAACCCATCAGAAGTACTCATTTAACTCACTCCCAAACACATCTGGGTTTCAGATAAGCAGTACACACTAGTTTTGTGCAGTGTGAAAGGAATAAGACATTTTTATGGCAATTACTTCAGTAATTTGGTTACTCTAGAAAATTTGTTTTCTATTTTCTGTTTAGGCAGTTCCAAGGGAAGGCTAATTTGTGCTGACATATAACATATCACCACTTCGGAAACTGCTCCCTCAGACTGTATCTAGCACAGCAGGAATAAATGCATCTGGGTATCTAGAGGCAATTTTCAAATGGAAAGGTTTTTATCTAAATCAACTGTCCCTTCACCAGAAGCATGACAGAAGCATAAAGACATCTGAAAGTACAGTTTAGCAACAGTTCATTTGCTCATTAAGGACGTGCCTTATACACTAAAAGAGTTCATGAGAATACGTTTAGACTATGCAATGTCATGACAGGCTGGAAAAAAGCCCCAAAGAATAAAAATGCAGCTGGTTCTTCTAGGACAATAAATGTCTCCCATTCTGTGATTCTTTTGCTAGCTAAAAATGCAAAATTGATACCCAGGGCACAGGGCATTGCATCACATTCATTCCTAAAGTCAGGTAGGCCACAGCACAGAACCCAATGGAAACACAACATGATTCTTAAGGTTAAGTCTTCTGCTACTCAACACTAACATGTCAGGGGAAGCAATATTAAAAAAATCTGAAAACCAAAACAAAATACAGTATGTTACTCTTCAAAACACCAGAGAGACACTAAACTACTGCAGTTTATTACTGCACAGTAGATTAGAGTACAACAATTTTTCTGGGTTCAGGAAGTGTCTGAAACTTGCCATGGGGGTGAATAAGGCCAACACCACTTTTAAAAACTTTTTTTTTGACCCACTTGTTCTCCAAAAGGAGTCAAATTACAACTGGTTCTTATTATTAAGCATCAATGATTCAGTACTGCCCAAGACAGAGTGACTGCATTTCTTCCAATCTGCAAGATAAAATAAAAGATGCAGCACATCGGAAACCCTTGAAGAACAGTTGTGGGCTTGCTTATTTATTTTCAAAATCAAGTATCACTTGAAGGCATTACACTGTACCTCTAACAAAAAAAAACCCGAGCAAAACAAAACAAAAAAAACCCAAACCAAAACTCAACAACAACAAAAAACCACCACCAAAGAACAACCAACCAAAAAACAAAAAACAAAAACCCCAAACAAACAAAAACCAAACAAAAAACCCCAACAATATCAAAACCCCCAACAACCCACCATTATAACACTTTGTAACTAGATTCCCAGTGTAGTCAGACTGATGCAAAAGCAAACTCTAATATCTTAAACCCACTCAGTAATATTTCAGTCATCCATCAAGGCAGAACACGCACTACTGTGCTGTACCGTACCCCTACAGCATAAGTGGCCTTTTCTTTTTCTCTACATCTGAGAAACACCACTAGAGGCAAGACAATTCACCAGCCTCCTAAGGAAGCTCCACTAGCCATGTGGTACATCTATAAAGCAGAAGAGGGCAAGATAACACAAAGTACTAAAATTCTTTACAGACATCTGTAGTTTCATGTAGGAAACTATGTCAAGGTTAATTACATTGTTAGCAGTCATTGTCTCTGGCAATTTTCATGTAAAGAATGAGTCTATTTCCAATAACCTCCTCACAATGCACTTAAAATTTCAATAGAACCCACAACTGCACACAGCTCCCTATGACTTCAGAGAAAACTGCATTTAACATCTGAGGTTTCAAACAGCTTTGATGGCTGTTGATTCCCTGCAAGAAGAGGAGTGTGAGACAAAACTCCTCCACCAAAGGAAAAGGAGAAAGAAACAGAAAGAACTCCTATAGCGCTATAAAGCCTACCATCTGGAAGAAGAATGCATAAGGCAAATGACCCCACAATCTAGGTATTTTTGCTTAATTTGGGCTTTAGTAAGGTTTGTTTGACTGTAATTTTTTTCCTTCTCCTCTCTCTCCGTCCCTGCCCCAAGCGTATGCATTTACCTCTATTCTTATCTCTTCCTACTTCTGCTCCCTAAACACCTTTCCCCCTCCCCCCTGACATGTGCTCCATTTTGGCTTTTTCCATTCATTGATTCCTGGTCTGCTCCTCGCGCTGAAAAGTCTGAGGAAAATGTTCACTTGTGCCCAGACTTTATCACATATCAAGTGCCAGGAGCCTGGAGCATATTCTCATTTGACTCTGATCTGCTCAGTGGAAGCCCTCTCAAACTAGTCCTTAAATGTCAACACCAACCTGAAGGCATAACCTAGTCTCAAACAAGAGAATTTCTATTTCTACCTCATGGCTCCTATTTGGGGAAACTGCTGATCATGTTTACCCTTTACTATAGAAAAGGCCTACAGGAAAAATGAAGGACAGGTACTCATAATTCGCAAGAAAAGTATCAGAATCAATTTCCAGTGACTTCAGCCTAAAAACTGCTTTTGGCATCAGCTCATGCTCCAAAGAAACTGGAACACATTCCAAAATACATTCCTACAATTCTTAAGTTTACATGTTTGATTACACTTAATGATGTCACCAATGCAAACAACAGTATGAACAAAAGTCTCATTAAAAAATACTTTTTAAAAAGAGACACCAAAACCTCAGAGAAAGTAATTGTGTTTACAGACTGCTTTTCTCTAACATAGCTCTCTCTCACTCCTATCTCCTTTTCCCCAGATTTTTTTCCATTCTTGTTCTCAGCAGGCTGACACATCTTCCCCCCAGCCCAAACTGCATGCTACTAGAACACAACTGAAGTTCTTGTTCAAATTCCTGGACTCAAACCTATGTTTTTCCAGTACAAAACTCCTCACAGTACAGTGCCAGAACAATCACAATTCAATATACAGGAAGTTTTCCCCAGAAAATATCTGGAAAATATTACATGTTGCAACTGCAATTTGATACTAATTTCACATGGGAAAGGGTATTACAACTGTCACATTGCAGTGAGGAATTGCCTATTTTGATTCAACATTGATCTCCTACCCTGAAAAAAGGCAGCTTTGCCAAAACAGACCTTTGGTTCAGAAAGACCTCCTTTTGAAAATGCATAATTACCATTCACCTTTAGTGTTTATCACACCACCAAAAAAAAAAAAAAAAAAAGAGGAAAAAATTTACATGCAGGCCTTTCTTGTACGTACAAGAGAATATCAGTACTTTTAGGTTTCTCTGGATACATCCATACCTTTGAATTTATGGGACAGCATGCATTTACATTGATCAGGATTTAAATACGTAAACTGAAAAACATTAAGAGCATTAAGTCACTGTAAAAGTAGATGTAGTACAGAACAGTAGGATCACTACACGTCCTCTGTACACATGTATCCATGAAGCTAAAGGAAGTGCAAGGGATGTGTATAGACTCTCCCAAGAGACTGAGCATCACTTACTGTTCATAAACCCCATTATATTTTACTCTTGCCCCAGTAAGTGGGAAGATGGTGATGGAAACAATATTCGGGGGGGTCCTAGGACACCGATCATTACCAAGGGCCCAGCATACAGTTCTGCTCATCTGTTGGATTACACTCTGCTTCTCCTAAAAACACCGTGCTATCTTCCTCAGGGCTGCTGTACAGCTGAGCTTGGGTCAGCATTTCCTCATTCACAACACCTGTGTAATCAATTGCTAAAACTTGGCCTTTGCCTTTTCCATTAATGCACAACTTCATCTTAAAAAATAAGCTACAGGAGTAGTATTTGACCATTTCAAAGAAAAAGGAGCCAGGTAATCAAGATCGTTTCCTCTGCCGAGAGACAAGACAGCTTCAGCACCTGCTGCACACTTGCCACTGTGCCCCACTTGAGACTAATCAATTCTATTACAAAAGCATGCTCTTACAGCATTGAAAGTGCCAGAAGAAAAACAATACTGGCAGACAGAACTTTTGAAGGCTTTGAAGTACAAGTGTCAGCAAAGGAGTTTAAAGTGGTTTACATCTGTATTTAAACACATACTCACTTTCAGTGGGACAGCCACTTGGAAACTTCAAAGAAGGTACTGTGTGGTGTTTATCGCTTCTGAATGAGAAGGACAAGTGCCTTCAGAATAATTGGCAAAGCCACTGCCCTTCTCCAGGCATGGAGAGATCTCCACCAGAACAAAGCATAATCACAAGTCCCACTGGAGACTGCTCCAATTAAACAACTGCTTTTATAGAACAGTAAAGATAGGCAAAGTACTTCAGGACTGTTCCCCTCTTCAATTAGAACATCAAGAAAAACTAATCTCAGCACTCAGTTGCACCCAACTTGCAATTTTATTCACAAAAATTCCTTAATGCATTCTGGTTTCAATGTTTAGCCTTCAGAAAAAAAAAGGCTTTATTTGGGTGTTGTGTTTCTTGGAGAACAGAGCATTTCATTTTGCAGTAATTCATTCTGTTACTGAATTAAACTTTGATGTATTGGTTTTGACAAGTGCTTCATGCTGATTGTATTGTGTATGATAGCATAATCACTCCCCTTGCATTT